TACATACAAAATTTAACAAACAGAAGTTTGTCAGAAAAAAAGACAGTATAATTCTATTGCAAGCTCTGGAATTGACTTTTTCATTTTGTAATGCAAGTGTCAGACTTAAGCTTTGATTGCTAAGTCATCCTCAGCCAAGAGGATTCACCTCCAAAGATGAAGAGCTCAAACCGACACTTTGAAGTCACCCAACCTCTTCAAGAGTCAGGCTGCCTCCCCCACCTGAGCCTCCTTTGTTTGCCGATCCTAGTTCATTTAGATAACTAGTCGACTGAAGCTGACTTGTCTTCTTCCTTTTCCCCTCTTTTGTCTGTCTTCCTAAGCTTTCCTCTTATAACTTAAATTCACCAATAAAAGATAAGTCCAAGAAACCCTAAACCATCACCCTCACCCCCAATTAAAGCAGGGTCCCAGGTCTTTGCTCACTCTTTCTCTCTCCACCCAGGGCCTCAAGGTGAGCCAGATGTGCTGTGCAATTTCAAGTTCATGTAACAAACTTCTATTTTATCAAAGTTTCCAGAAGAGCATCTTACCCACCACAATAAGAACCCAAAGGGCTGGTTCAGTTGTGATATTGACTGAAAAAGGAAACCAAACTGACTATGGTAAACTTATCCCTTGCATTTTTAGCTGATAGTATTGTTAGGGGGAAATGACGGAAATGGTGGCAAAAAGTGAAAAGGGGGAATTGTTAGGGGGAAATGATGTCCTGAGCTAATCCCATACAGGCTTTGCGGACCCCACCCCCACTCCAGACTAAAGCCATCAAGACATTGGGAAAGACAAATCCCATCACCACCAAAGGGAGGGTGGCTGGGACCTGAGGGTGGAGTTGGGCAGCCAGGTTGGATATAAAAACCAAACACGTGGGCCTTGGGGCTCGCTCTCTCGCTCACCTCCTGGCTTCACAGCTCCTGGCTCTCGGCCAGCTCTCAGAGTGCCATTTTGGAATTCCTGATCGGCGGATCGGGTAGGACTCATTTAAAACTTTGTCTCCCACTTTTCTCCCTGAGCTGTACATTTCCTCATTTCCCCTTCCCTTGTAAATAAACCTTTTATTAACCTTTCGCGTGTGCCTGCAGTAGAGCATTGATAAGTCCTTTTAAGCGCGCGGGTGAGGACCCACAGTCAGGCACCCCGTTTTGTATCGGGGTTGCTCTACAACAGCATTATCAATATGCTGGGACCAACACAGAAAGTAATACGTAATTGAGCTATGACTGTTGCTTAAATAATAGCAGTGATGTAAAAACCGTATTTCACCTCACTTTCATTCAACTATGTAAGGAGGAGGAAGGGACAAGTAGTAGACATATTTGATAGGCAGTTGATTATGAAAGATAACTCACCAAATCCTAATCTTCTGTAATTGCAAATCAATAAATAATTATACAAACTGAAAAAAAATCAAGAAAATCTAAGAATTCTATTTAGAAATACAGGTTAAATAACAAATAGTTGTTGTAAAAAGCTGTGTGTGGGTTAGTAGGCAGAAAAATGTCCCTCCTCCAAAAAGGTCCAAGCACTGATTCCTGGGATCTATGTTTCCTTACATTGCAAAAGGGAATATAGATATGATTGAGCTTAGGATTTTAAAATAGGGGATTATTCTAGATAATCAGGGAGGGCCCAAGCTCATGAGTACTTAAAAGTGGAAGAGAAAGGCAGATGAGGGGAGAGAGATGGCAGGGGAAGGGTCCATGGTAATCCTGTTGGTGGTTCTGGGATATCTGGCAGTGACTTGCAAGATCAAGGGCTGCAGGCGGCTGGGCAGACTGACAGCTCTTCCTGCAAGGCCAGAAACTACCAACAACTGAAAGAATAAAGAACTAGATTCTCCCCAAGGGCCTCTAGAAGCAATGCAACCCCCCATAGACCTCCTCATCTCATTCTGGTAAATTCCAAATTGAACATCTGCCCTCCAGCACTATGAGATAATGGTGTATTGCTCTAAGCCAAAAATGTGTTGATCATTCCTTAGGACAAAAGAAAACTAGTCTACTTGAGCAGTGGGGACTTAAGGTTTGGAGTCAGAGAGTATAAGAAACAACCAGGAAAACTGACAGAGACACATGTGAGGCAGGGATTGGCTAGTGCTTTCAATATGGAGGAAGGTGAGCATGAAGATTCGTCTGGCAAACACACACTGGCTCTGATAATGAAGACACAGAGGAAATAAACGGATGTCAAAATAAACATGAGAGAAAAGAGGAAAAGAGACAACCAGTGGTGCACAGCTAGCGCCACAAAGAACATTCTATATACCTTGGTTTGGTAACTGGGAATAAAGGAGTTATCAGGGACACTGAACGCTTCAGTCCAACTTTTCACCCAATAGCAGGTATGTCTAGAGATGGACACGGGGTCAGATGGCTCCTTAGTGTCAGAAGTGAGACCAAATAGTTAGAAACATTCCCCTTGGCCCTAAAGAAGCAGAGAGTCAACACCGGGGCTCAGAGAACACAGAAGTCATGCGCCCTTCTGCCCCCAAAAAGGGTTTCAGCATCTACAGTGTAGGGGCCAGTGTGGGTGACTATGGAGTGGTCACATACAGAAGTGAGGGCAAGTGGCCTGGAGATCAAATAGTGAAACTTGCTCTGATGAAGTGTGCACAGCTTTGAAGATTTGCTTTGCAATTTGAATAGTTTTCATGTTTTTTAAGTCTTTCTTGGTAATATTTAGGCAGATCGGTAGTGAAAGGCACATGTTTCTATTGGCTCTTTTATGTTGTCTTATAAATGTTGGGTCTTCAGAAGTTGTATTATTTTTGTCTCTGCTCTGGAGGCCTGCTGTTTCCTTAATTGATGTGGTAGCATTTGACTGGCTTTATTCCCGTCGTCACATAATCATTATTTTCCATATCTCAGTTGTTGCTCCATTTCATTAACTTTTTTCAGAAAATTGCTCCCTATTTATCTATTTATAGGTTTTGAATGTGTGTAGTCTTTGTCCAAAACCAGTATGATTGCCTTTATCTTCTTGCTTTTGATCTTTAATTTTTCTTTGTTCAGAATCAATCATTTTTCCCCCTCGATACTTTCTTTGATATTCCCTTTTCCTAGCTGCTGCCACAGTAATTGGAATTTTCTTAAATTTGTATTTAAAATCTTTTCTTTATGGGTGATCAATTGAGGAGGTAGCAGCAGCTCTCAAGCCCCCCAACTCCTAATGGTGCCCCCAAGGCTCACAGCCTATTTCTACCCCCTTCCTTCACCAAAGTCAATTCTAGAGAAACTCTCCCAAGTTCTTTCTTGTCTCCTAGCAGCTTTTCCTCTCTTTGGCCAAACTTTTCTGTTTTTCTTTGTCTGTCACTTCCTTTTAACCATAGATAATCCGGATTCTTTCCCTACATGTCATTTTAACTCATTGTCACTTTTTTTTTTAATATTTATTTATTTATTTATTTATACAAGCACTGGGCACAGTCAGAAGTGCAGGAGGATGAGAGAATTCATCAGAACCAGAGCAGGGAGCAGAGCAGGCAGAAGGACTGAAGTACACTGCTGAGGGGAGCAGCAGGTGCGGCAGGAGAGGTTTGAGCACCGGTCACATTTTTATATTAACTCCTACTGCCATTATTTACCTATGGCCCTAAACATTTTAGATCTCCTATTTTTTTGCTAGAAACTAGTAAGTAAAAATTGCCTTTATGAGCTCCATGTACTCATTGGTTTAAAATAATTCTTATCATGTAAGATCATTAAATCCATTTCCGCTGATTGATTCCTCAGTAACTCTTATCCTCAGACTCAAGTCAAGAGGAGACCGGCAGGGAGCATTCACCATCTATCTGCAGAATGAATGACCACATGGAGGCCGGAGTGCGCTGGCTCGCAGGAGGAGTGCGAGTATCTCACCACCTCACTAGGTAACTTTCAGTGATGTACATTTAGATCCAGTCAAGCAAGGTAAGGCTGTGAATCTCCACTTTCTCTTATTTCAAGATTTCACTAACTGTTTATGAAACCTTTTATCTAGTTAACTCAGCTGCTTGCTATTTAGGTGCATTATCATCTTGGCTCAGAAATAAAAGTCCCAGGGCAGAGAAATAAAGAGACCGAGGATCCCTGTTACTGAAGCTTTGCTTGACTGTCCCTGGATTAAGCTTTCTGGGGCTAACTTATCTCTAACGGATCTTGTTTTAACAAGGTGAAATGCAAGTTCCAAGCAATGAGGGGGCAGGGGCGCTAGTCTGGGCCCACGGCTACCTTTCTGGGGGAAGGTAAATACAAGGCCTAATTCTCTCATGCCCTTTACCACTGAAGATAATTTTCCCAAGGTTCTGAGGCTCCTATGTTCCTTGCCAGCACTTATTGCATGCATGCAATGTCCACACTCCCCTCTTTAATTCAGAGTCATAGGGCACGATGGGGTTACAGTAACCTATGCTTCTCTCCTAACAGAAACAATGTCAACGCCTACTTCTTCCTGGTCTGATGTCACCTGTGCTTCCCCAGACTTGGTTCTCACCACAATAGGTACAATTTTTATAACCAATATTTCTGGTGTTTTCCCATTAGTTCATGAACAACTTTATAGGTATTAAGCTGCTAAACTGAGTTTGCAAGATGATGCATTGCTACTCCTTCAAGTCCCTATTGATCAAGCCAAGACTAAGACTGCCCCCTGCCACCAAGCCAATGTGGCCTAGCAGCTCCACCACTGCTACCTACTTCTTTCAAAGAGGAGGTGAAGATACGCATGCTGAGGCCATCCACTCCCATTTCTCCTGGAATGTTTGCACACTGCTGCCCTCGGGAATTGGGTTTTGTTACTTGGGCACCAGGATGAGGTTCCTTACCACACAGACTCTCAGAGACCCCAGCATCATAACTCTCCTCTGTTTCATTTCTTTTATTCCTTGTTTTTGTTATTACCTTGATTTTGTTATTACCTGGCCTGCAGTTCAGGGTCAGGCTTATGGAGAAAGCTGAAACCAAAAGCTGGAGAAGTGACACATTCACAATTGCACTCCCCCAACCAGGTCACGATGCACTGACCTTGGAATATCCTTGTGTGATCAATCTTCTTATTACAAAGTGTGTCCTCTTCCAGGGTAACTCCTGGGTCCTGTGTACAACTGGATCACTTCTAGCTCTGCCTCGTGGCTTGTGGAGCTGCCAGCTTGGTCAGAGCTTTTGAGTCCTGAGTGAACACAGACTAAGGTTCAGTGAGGCTCTTCCCTCCTCTTGAATTACTGGCATGAAGGACATCAGCACTTCTAATACTTTCCATCTTCACTTCCCATAATCCTTTTTATTTATGCACTTGCTGGCTGATTTTATGTGTTTCCAAAACAATTACTTCATTAGACTCATCATAATCCTATGACATACAGAGCAGGTATTACTGTAACTGTTTTAGTCCTGAACTGAGACCAGGAAGCTGCCCCTTTGCTGAGGCTACCTGAAGAATGAGTTATGCATCTAAGCTGAGCTCAGCTATCACTTAGTTCCTGGAACTGTGTCATAGGACACCGATCCTCAAAATCCCTGAGATATGGTAGGTGATAAAGTTTGGATAAGGATAGTCTATTTTAGGGCCTCCCTGAAGGCACAGTGGTTAAAGACACAGCACTATCAAGCTATCAGCAGACCTCTCCTGTCTCGACAACTTCTCCCCTCAGCAGTGTATTTCAGTTGGTCTGTCTGTTCTGTTCCCCACTCTGTCTCTGGTGAATCCTCTCAACCCTCACACCTCTGGCCTACACCCCAGTTCTTGCATGAGCAAATAAATCTTTAAAAAAAAGATAGTCTATTTTAATTATAATTTATTAAGGGTTGAATTGTTGGCAAAGTTTAGAAAAGACATAACTTATTTGTAGAGTAAGTTGAAAACTTGCCAAGGGTGTTTTCCAAGAATTCCCTCATAGCTAATAAACATGGTATGATTTGAGCTAACACAGGGAAGAAAAAAAAGGAATAAATTGATTAATTCTTGTCCAGATTTGTATCTAGAGGGATGTTTCTGCTCTCAGGGCATAAAGGAAGCATTTTAATTCAGTACACTAAGCTGAAACTCAGGTTGCCTTTTTGCCAGGTCCTGAACTAAGGTGTGAGAAGGGATTGCAAAGAAGATTACAAACTGGACCTTAATATCAAAGGGTTCACATTCTGCTGGGAAAATAAAATTCAGACACAAGTAACTATGAGACAGGTTGAATGTGACAAGACACTGAGAAAAAGTCATAGAGAATTAAGAAAATGGGTAATGAAAACATTCTTTAAAATGTAAATAGGGCCTCCCTGATCACCATGCACTGGCGTTAAGATGCAACCTATGAAGCTATCTGCAGCCTCAGCAACATGAGTTTGATCCCTGCCAGGGAGGTGACCCACCAGGTGCAGCAGACCGCTCCTGTCTTGCCTGCTGCTCCCCTCAGCAGTGTGTTTCAGCCATTCTGCCTGTTCTGTTCCCCCCTCTGTCTCTGGTGAATCCTCTTATCCCCCACATCTCTGGCCTATACCCCAATTCTTGTATGTATGTATAAATAAATCTTTAAAAAAAAATAAAATGTGAATAGCTTTTCTTTGCTGAGCAATAGCAATAGAGATAGAATCAAATCCAGCTTATAAATCAAACATAAAGAGAGGTCAAGTGACTCATGTGCCCCATCATCTTCCATTGTCACTGCAGCTGGCAACTTCACACACACACACACACACACACACACACACATACACACACAGCCCTTAGAAGGGACAGCACTGCTTTGTTCTTAGAGGTAGAATTCAGGGCCTTTGGCATTAACCCCTGAACATCAGGCCACTGGGCTTTGTGGGTGAGCTGAATTAACCTTCCTTTTGTTATCATGGGCAATTTCTAGCATCATTAGGGTCATTGGGGCATTCCCATCCCCATAAAGTGCACACATGCCACTAATGGTGATTTCAAAGGGAATGCCCGTGCATCCATAAAATTGAGATCACACCTTCATCCCGGGAATATAGTTGTGATTAGATTAAAGACACATCGCAAGTCTGTCGTCTCTCAATTCATTTATTGTGTGTGTGTGCGTGCAGTGTTGGATCGCTTCATCTCCTATGCAATTGCCAGCATTTCCTCTGGACTCAGACGTGTTTCTCTAGTACAAAACAGCAGCACACCCAACAGCTCCAGTTAGGAAGTGAAGGGAAGCTGTCTCCACATTAGCAGGTGTGTACACAGTCCAAAGGCACAGACATGCTTCCCAGTTCCAAAGTCTGCGTTGTGGACCTGATGCTTAGGACTTGTGTCCAATGTCCTCTTAAAGAGAGATGCCTGCTTGGCTGCTGCCTCTCCATTCACTGTTCTCTGGAGTGGCCAGGGCCTCTCTTCCAGTTCACCTATAAACATGTGCAAAGGGGGCTAGGAGCACAAGACCATGTACACTCAGGGCTTTGGGGCCCTAGATTTGGGGTTAAACAAAGACTGCAGTGGGGACTTCTTTATAAGACTGCTGAAGACTTTTCTGGAAATAGCAACCTATTATAGCTATTTTGTTTTCAATACAGGTTTCCTCCATGATCTGAAAGAAGAATGGTCCTATTTGCTATGGTTTGATAGGCTGTTTTGGGGATTCAGGAATGCTTGTTGTTTTCATATAAATTAATGGTAATAGTGTTCCCAGACCCAAAAAAATAACCTACCAAATCATACCAAATAGGAGTGTTCTGCTTTGATACAACTAGGGAACCCTGTTTTGAGCATATTTTTTTTTTTTCTTCTAAACACTACTCCAACTTTTCATAGGTATGTTACAGCTCCTGAGTGGATAGAGCTAATATTACTGCCCTTACTTTATAGGAGAGAAATAAAGATCCAGACAACTTTTCAAAGAGGGGAGGGTGAGAATGAAACACAGTTGCTGAGCAGTGAAACTACAGTTCAGGCAGCCTCCATGCAGTTCTGGGCTCTGCCCTGGTTCTGGAAGAATGTGGCAACTGACCACACATCAGGCACTGTGCTAGGGGATCAGGACACCTGTAGTGAGTCACACTCCCGGCCCTGGACACCTGGCTCTGCCTATGACACTGTCCTGCAGGAAGCAGGAAGAGCATTGGCCTAGGAATTTTTCATCCCTGGGCTCTGGCTCTGCCCCTGACAACCATGACTCCCTTGAACAAGAACTTTAATATCTCTGAGCAATAATAGCCTGGGCAACACGTATCCCTTGGTGACTGTGATATTACAAGAGAAATCTCACAGAATGGAAACTGGAAGTAGACATCACTCTACTTTCACTCAACTACAGGAGGGTAGTTAGAGCTGTCAGAAATACAGACATGGGTGGAACACAGAATGCAGAGTCTTACAGGGAACTCCACCAATTCATGGAGCTAGGAGGGTGGATTATTCTCTCCCAGATGGTGGTTCCTAAACCCTTTGTGTGAACTGATGTCTGGGTATAAGTAGGGGGCAAAATAATTAATTATGCAAGGGCAGATCACTTGGATTAAGAAATCTCCAGAAACTCTTAAATAATTTTAGGTGATAAAGATTTGAAACCCAAATCCCTGCAAGGGGATGAAGTCTTTGAGAAATTAATTGGGGGAAATACTGAAATGCTTCTGTTTTTAAAAGGGATAATGGAGTAAATCCAGGTCATATACTGTAGTGCTTTTCATCATTTTATCAAACTTTTGTCTCTTCTACAAACCATTTTTATAATAGGAAAATAGAATTTATAGATAAAACATGAGCTTAGTATAAAACATATTATAGTCGAATCAAGAGCAATGAACTCTGTTCTACACTTGAGTCCTAGCTTAGTTTCAAACCTCTGGCACTAATATTACCCAGTGATTATCTCATATGAAAACTAATAAACTTCATGTTACAGTAGAGAGTCTATATATTTTTTAAAGATTTATTTATTTATGCATAAAAGAGCTGGGGCACAGGCAAGAGATGCAGGGGGTGAGAGGATTCACCAGAGACAGAGTGGGGAACAGAACAGACAGACCAACTGAAATCCACCGCTGAGGGGAGCAGCAGGAGTGTCAGGAGAGGTCTGCTGCGCCATGCGGGCTGCTCCCCAGCTGGCGGGGATCAAACTCATGCTGCAGAGGCTGCGGATTGCCTCACAGTGCAGTTCTTAACCCCTTGCACCACTAGGGAGGCCCAACAAGTTTATTTTAAAATGTATTTGAGGGCCTCCCCGGTGGCACAGTGGGTTGAGCGTAGTGCTGTGAAGCTGTCCGCAGCCTCTGCAGCACTGGTTCGATTCCGGGCTGGTGAGGGAGAAACCCACATGGCACGGCAGACCTCTCCTGTCTCACCCGCTGCTCCCCTTAGCAGTGTATTTCATCAGTCTGCCTGTTCTGTTCCCTGCTCTGTCTCTGGTGAATCCTCTCACCCTCCCGCGCCTCTGACCTGTACCCTGGTTCTTGTATAAATAAAAAATAAATCTTTTAAAAAAAATAATGTATTTGAAAATACATTATAATCATTGAAAATACATTATGATTTTTATAAAAATTGTTAAGAAGCAGGAATATAGTCTACACATTTTTAATTTTATATTTATCTTCTATTTACTCTCATCCTTTTCTATTCCTATTTCTATGTATTATTCTTGTCTTGAGGAAGTTATAAGCAAGAAAAACAATGATCAGAGAGACTCAGACCATTGAAGTTTTGTGTCAATTATTTTGATGAAGAGAAATAATCTTGGGTGAATGCTGAATTGCTGAGTACCACCCTAACTGACATGTGACTACAGTAGTGACATCTTTAAAATTACTGTTCCATGATTTAGATCTTAAGTTCTGGATTTCAAAATACTTTATAAAGATCAAAAGTTGTTTTTGTTTTTTTAAGATTTGCTCACAAATGGTTAGCAAAATGATAGATAGACTATAATTTCTACTTTCTGCCCATCCATGGCCAGCTTTGCTCAGTCAGCTCACACCATCAGCAGTACAAAGGAGAAGAGTCACCAGCCTGTCTACCACCCTCAATGCCAAACCTGGGTGCAGCAAGATCTGTCAGATTCTCTATAGCATCTTTCATGTTTGCATGTGAAAGACCCACAGAAAGTCCCAATAGAAAGAAAAATATGAATCCTAATGTTGACTCCCCTGCTTAGCTCTAAAGGCCATCACAGGCCGTCATTGGTTAGTTACTGGAATAAAAGAATGTAAAATATTGAAAGTAATT